AGAACACCCCCCCACATCAAACTATCACATCAGTTTATGTAGATCACTAAGCATTCTGAGATCTGAGGCTGATAGCTCGACTTTAGAACTGTTGAAGCAAGAGAATTTTTTAAGCCTGACCTGTGACAACAATGTTTATTCCTTATTTCACACATCTCTTTGCAGCAAGATGTGCTGAGAAGTACATGGATTTGAATTCACAAAATTAAGAGCTGATCTAGTCTTTCCAACGAGTTTATAATACGACTCAAGCCTTAGAACTAAAGGCAAGTTATTTTATTACACTGTAGTGTGAGCTGTAGGTTTTGATTTTTTAACTCGAGGAACTTTTAAGCATAGTGAACATCAAAATCCTTACAACGGCTTGCCCTAGCCTTGGGAATTCTCCAACCCACTGTACAAAATGATCTTTTCTTTACAGACCTACAGCTGTAGATAATCTTCCTTGTCACCCTTTCTCTCTACTGCTGCTCACCACCAAACTACAACCTGGTTTAGAGGAGATGTCTTCAGCATGGGTTTGTGTAGATAATGGGACTCCCGAGTATTGTGAGAGACACCCCGAGCATGCACTGGCTGCTCTTGCCTCTCTCAGCTTTTCTCCTGCCTCACTGACCCTTAGGAATCCCCTCTCACCCTGAGGACAGTCTCACTGCCAGGACTTGTGGTGGCAGAAGGGCAGCTTGTTTTCTCCAGCACCACAAAAAGGGAGCAGTGGGACTGCACGAAGAGCTCCTGCAAAATCCGAGTTCACTGCCTGCTGGTGGAGTGTGCACCTCAAGACATGGAACAGCTGCCATATGCAGCAGATGGGACGTGGGGATGCTCCTCGGCCTTCCCACACACCTCAGTGTGCTCCAGTTGGAAATAACTGAATGACGGATGGGGAGGGAGGAAGGATTAATTTGTCTGCCACCAATTAATGACTAATTTTTCCACAGATCAGAGTTCATGACAATCTTTCATTCAGTCATGGTTTCTAGAGAGTCTCGTTTTACTCGCTTGTGTCTTCACATCTAGAGCACAGAAAGAAAAATATTATTGATGTCATATGTGATTTAAAAAGAGGTATTTAAATTCATTTGCTTTGTTAATAGCATCAGCTCCAACCATTGCCTAAACTGTACCCTCAGATGTACATGCAGCTGTCTCTGAATTCCAGTTAATCGACCACTGTCAAAGTGCATTCCTGGTTGAAGAACGGCTCTCATTTTTTCTTACTTTGTATTCCCTTCTGTTGCTATGGATTTCATCAGATATAAACAAGTTTTTAAGTGTTCTTATATTAGCATTCACAAATATTATCATTATTACACTACATAATTATTACAATATCAAAAATGCAGTTCCCAAATATAACAAGTCTATGGCATAAAAGCTTTATAAAAATAGTTTCAATCATAGTTTTTTATATAATGAGCATGCTGAACGTAATGAACATGCTGAGAAAATGTATTCTACTTTGCTAATATTTGCTTGTATTATCTTTTTAAGGATATTACATGTATATTGAGGCATCCGACATGGTCTATGGACAGAGAGCTTACCTAGTTTCAAGATCACTAAGAGGCACCTCTGGAAAACAGTGCTTGACATTTTTTTATCACATGTATGGAGCTGGGACTGGATTATTGAGTGTTTATCTAAAAAAGGAAGGTGATGATGAAGAGATTCCTTTGTGGAGAAGGACAGGGGAACAAAGCATCTCATGGCTAAGGGGATTGATAGAATATGAAAGTGACAGAAACTACCAGGTAAGAAAAAAACAAACAAAAAGCAGTCCAAATGGAATACTGAACTGAACTATGTGCTAGAATCCCAAGTTTTCAGTTGTATGAAAAAAAAAAATTAAAATGTAGATAGCATTGAATGGACACCTGAAGAAGCTGAAATAATGTCTAAGTTCTTACAAATGAACGTAGGTAGGGAATTATTAAAGACATTAACAGGTTGCAAGTCTAAAAATAGTTCATTAATTCATTAAACATTTTTAAAAGTATTTAAATGCTGTTTTCCCACCATTTCTTGTCAGTAGTGGTAGTTTTTATTTAGATGGCTTGTGCAATTTCTTTTCCTTCAGCTATCTAAAGCCCTGTCTAGATTTGACATAACCATGAAGCTGTTGTAACATGGCTGCTTCTTGCAGGATGGTCTTTCTGAGGTGACAAAGACCAAAGGCAAGGGATGATGCAAAGCCAGGGTTCTGCCTTTGGTTTCAGTATTGCCAGAGACAAAGCCTGCTTCAGTTCCTCTGTGAAAAGGAAGCTGAAATTACTATTGACTGAAACAGCACTGGGCACAAAACTCTACTGATCACTGCTGTGGTTTAATCCGGCAGGCAGCTAAACACCACGCAGCCCTTCGCTCACTCCCCACCCTGCAGTGGATTTGAGGGAGAGAATGAGGAAAAAAAAAAAAAAGTAATATTTGTGGGTTGAGATAAAGACAGTTTAATAGGACAGAAAAGGAAGGAAATCAATAATAAAAATGATAAAAGAATACATGAAACAAGCGAAGCACAATGCAGTTGCTCACCACCTGCTGACTGATGCCCAGCCAGAGTCCGAGCAGTGGCCACCACCCCTTGGTCAGCTGCCCCCGTTTTATTCAGCATGACATCGGATGGTATGGAATATCCCTTTGGCCAGTCTGAGTCAGCTGTCCTGGCTGTGTTCCCTCCCAGCTCCTTGTGCACTCCCAGCCTTCTCACTGGCAGAGCAGTATGAGAAGCTGAAAAGTCCTTTGCTTAGTGTAAGCATTACTTAGCAACAACTAAAACATGAGTGTGTTATCAACCTTATTCTCATCCTAAATCCAAAACACAGCACTATATCAGCTACTAGGAAGAAAATTTAACTTTATCTCAGCTGAAATGAAGACAATCACTAAGCAAAGATGTTGCACGTTTTTTTTAATCACTTTGCCTTAAAAGCCTGGAAATTAATTAGGGAAAAAAAATCCACAACCTTTTACTGAAAAGCAAGTTTAGCTTCATCAATAAGACCACAACACAGTATTGTAAAGCTTTTTTTCCCGTCAAGTCTTGCTTGCATATGGGCAACACGCAGCAACGCATTTGGGCTGAAAAGACAGAAATGCCGCATCACTAGAGAAAATTTATCAGTGGTCTACAACACACAGCGATTTATTAACAAAATGTGAGAACAAACTTGCTTCCTTTCACATAGCACACACTCAAATTCTCTGACCAGGGCAACTGGTTCACTGATGGAGCATAGAAGTTCTTTCCAAGAAGCAGGCTTCCAGGACACACTAGATCTTGAATAGACTGCATGGGAATTATTTTTTTTAGTTCCTCCTGCGAATTCATGAAAAGCTGTGCCTTACCTTTACAGATTATTTTTGAGGTGATCCGCGGTGTGTCAATAAGAAGCGACACTGCTATTGATGATGTTCTGTTCCAGGCAGGACCCTGTTTAGGTAAGTTTAAAGATCCTTTGTTTCTCTTAGGAGACACTGAGCAATTCACAGTGCTTTTTGTAATTAGATGAGTGATTGTGATGGGTTGATGTAAACGGGTGCCTAAACCACGACAGTGATACTTTTTCCCTTGAATCCCCACGGAGTGGGTCTGAATTTAGGATCATGCTGCTGGGTTAGTGGAGAGTTTTTGTATTCTAGTAAGATGTGAGACCGTCCTCAGAATCTGGACTAGTAGAGAAGATGTAACGCTTTTTAAAAACCTTATGGCAGTCCCAGTTAAAATTCAGCATGGTAATTACATTCTGTCGTATGCATTTTTACGTATGATAAAAATAATTACAGTATTTCCCCTTTCTCTGTATTCTAGAAGTGGAAGAAATTCAGTTCTCATCGGGCTATCCTGACAGCTTAAACGAAATTGAGTATTAAATAATCTGCTGAAAGGAGTGAAGTGCATAGAAGATTTGTATGTGAGAAACTGCACAAACTGCCTATTTTAAGATATGTTTTAAGTAAATATTGGACTGGTTTGAATATGCACCGATGTATAGGAAGAACTAAAAGCACTCCTGTTCCTCGCCTTTGCAATGAAATTATCGACTCAGGGCTTCTTAAGAGTGTTGGGGTTATTTTTTCTCTTTTGCATGAGGTATCAGTTATTATATAAAGGCTCTCCATTTTGCACAGATCATTAATTTTAATGCTTTTATTTTTTATTTTTTAACCTTTTTGATATATAGGTAAAAAGAGGAAATGCACCATTAAAATCCAATATTGTGTTATCTTAAATCTGCATTCAATGAATGTTTTGTGTTGGGTACAGAATGGATTTTTGTTAAGGAAATTATAAATATTTTGAAATAATAAAATAGTATTAGCTACTAGTAATAGCCAACAGGTTAAGTGCAATTATTCATGATGACAAATCTCTCTGGGAAACTCTTAACACTCTGCTGGCAATTTTTTGTTGGTTTTTATTCTTTTACTATAACAAACATACTTGTCGTCCTTGCCAATAACAAACTCACTTTTAGTGTTCCACTATATTTCAGTATAAGCTGCTGACATTTTGAACTATATGAAATGAAACCCTTTGAAGCCATATGTTTTTTGGCGTACAAGTCTTGTTTTGTTTTTTTTTTATACATCAGTTTGTACACTCATAGAGAATGTACTTAAACTTTACCCAACCACAGATGCCTTACATCTATATTAATAGGAAACTGAATTCACATAACTTGTTAATTTTTACAACTTTATGTGTTTGTGTGTAAGATTTTGTTTTGAAATTATTATAACTTCCTAATAAAATGTAACTTTGAAAATCATCTCACTGCTCTGCTCTAGGCTTTACAGTTAACGAGAAACAACTGAACTCAATGTAATAGCCTGAATTCACTATTTTGAACACAAAAAGAATGAAATGTATGGGTCATGTCACCCAAGACAGCTGATAGAAAGCAATCTGATCTGCTGCAGGAAGTTCCTGTATTAAGCCACAGAAATTATTCTTACAGCCACCACATTCAAGCTGTTGCTGCAAGATGTGAGCCTTGAAAAGCAGCAATAGCCTTTGCTCCTTTCAGAACAAAGAATACATTTTTCCTAACGGCCTGTAAGGATCAACAGCACCTGGGACAATCTAGCCCCTTGCATCTTTAGTTAAGTTTTCATTTTGGTAACACAAACCATTGAAGAGGTTGTTCAGTTAAACACATTCAGTACCAATGTGTTTATTTGATCACACAGATTGAAGCAGTTTATTATTTCCTAGCGACTGAGGAAAAGCCAAGAGGAACCGTCAACTGCCAATCCTAGCTATCTACAGACCCTGCTGGCAGCTGGTTATGAACGCATCATTCTTGCTATTATTTGGAAAATGAAAGCAACCAGAAACAATGGACTGTTTCCTAAGAGTCAATACAGTTTTACAGTTGTTCTGTAAACCTTATGCTTCAGTATCAACGTTCAGCTCAAATTATCTAAGCAGAAAACAAGTGAGAACGAAGTGATTAAAATCATCAGGCTTGGTGGTTCTCCATACTTCTGATGGGGCTTTTCTGTAAATAAAATGAAGCACAAAGTATAACTATTGGATTCCTATCTCTAACAATTTATGCAACTCTGCTTCACTCCATCAAAGTAATCAGATTCAGGCTGATATGAATAAGAACATATGCAAAGCACTTCATTCTGCTCTCCACTGAGCATTCTCTAGGGGCCTCAGTTGCATGATGATTTTGTCAGCATCACTGAGGGTAGTATTTATCTACAGGGTGCGAAAAACTGTCCTGACTGAAAAAAAAAAACCACTAAGTTCTTCCTTCAGTAGGGAACAACAGCACATTTCCACACATTTCTGCTGCAGGAATTAAAGAACAGAGGGAGAATTTGAAAGGTGGCTTTAAATTACTTTAGTGCCTGCTGATTATCAGTTCATGGAATAGGAAATTCACAGGCTAGTGAAAGAACACCTACAAAATATCTGGAAATTAAGGATAAGCATCGAAATTTCTTCACTGGCGAATTTCAGTTTTATGGTGAGACAAAAAACATTCCATCAGCTCTGTCCAAACAGGAAACTCCCAGTGCAACTAATTTCTGCCCTGGATCCATCTTTATTTACTATTTTTCCTTTCTTACTGCTGCAGTAGCTGTACAGGGACCACAGCAGGGCAAAGAACAGTTCCGAGACTTGCCATACTAGGCCTTTTACTATCAGAAAATGTCTTCAAAAGCTACTCGAGAACCTGCGAGTGCTTGCTTTGATCCCAGTTGTGGCACAGTCTGTAAAATGGAAATGAAAAAGAAACCTTCAAAAGCAGCCGTAACACCCTGAACACTAACAGACTTGTATGTGATTGCTCTAAATGTAGCTTTGTGCTGGAGCGGAACCAAACTTGTCCTCAGATCAGAGGAAAAGCCCTTTTATTGCCCTTTTGTTTAATACTCTTTTTATTCTTTAAATATTTTCCATTAGTTGACGTTTCATCATTAACCTTATTCATGTCCAAAAAGGCGGCCAAATTCAGATCTCAGTTACACCAATGGAAAACCAGAATAACAACATAAAATATCATTATTCTAGCTTTACACTAGAATAAAATGAAATGAAACTGTATTCTGGCTGGCTATCGTGTCACACCAAAATAAATCTAACGTAAACGCCACTTTACAGTCATGAAGCTTCACTAAGACGGCTCAAGCTGAGCACTAAAAGACCTGGCATTTTATCCACCCGGATCTGAACACAGCTCACAAGTGTGACTGCCCACATTCCAGAGACCCACTGCTCTGACAGGACCACTGTGCAAGGTAAAAGGCTGAAGACACCACACTTTTCCTGCAACATGACACACTGAATCAAAAGGTTCTAACGCTCGCATTTTAAAAAAGAGAGAACATCAGTCTCGTCCTACCTCAAAAAAAACCCTCTAGGTGTCAGATGTCAAATTTACTTAACATTTCCTTTGGAAAAACATTTCTGTTTGTGATTTCAAGTTTCTTAGTGTGAATGAATAACTTTTCAATACTCCTTTACATTACTTTGGGCTATATGTTTTCTTCCCATCTTTCTTCTGTTGTTCGGCTGTCCACCTCCTGCGCCTTTCTGCTTATCCTTCTGAACATCAGCATTTTGGTCTCTCTTTGTAGCCAACAGCATATTCCGCTATGTTGCTTTGCTCACTGCTAAATACTGTGTTACATCTTGCTGCTTTTACGTTCCATATTAGCTTTCACATCCTCTGTCTCTTCTTTCAAGAACTCCTCTTGGTCCAAGCACTATGTACTTTGTGGTCTTCACCGTTTCCTTTTTCCAGTTCTTACCAGCATCCATACTCACCAGACCCTGAAAAGTGCTCCTTAAAAAAATTCTGGGAAAAATAGATCTCTTCTGCAGTCTCTAGTGGGAATATGTTGAAATTGTTCCTTAGTCTAACACCTTCTCTCTTGGCTGGAGCTCACTGATACTTAATGAGTCCAACTCTACCCCTTTGGTCTGCAAGCCTGAGACATACCTGATTTAGAAGACTAAAATCTGTATTGATTAACCAAAACATTACCAACTAATAAATCAACTAATATTCTAATTAACTAATAGACACACCAGTTTTACTAAATTACAGTGATACAATTTTGCACTCTGTTACACAGCTATTACAAAGCTATTATCACAAATCTTACGACTCACATACTTTCAGTTTTATTATCCTTTCCCATCTGTAACACATAGTACTAGGGTGCATTTTTACGTGAAGTCTTCTGGATATGGACCTGGTGAAGAGTCCAGTGAGTTATCCAAAGTGGCTGTCTGATGTCCTGGTGGGCTTGGACATGCAGGTCAACTTCACTACTATCTGTGGTCATCTGCACTCATACTGTTGGAGCAGAAGTCCCCTTCATTCTTTAACTGATCTTAGTTTTTCTTCCCCCGTTTCTTTTCCCTGTATTTGCAACCACCTTTTCACTGCCCTTGTACCTCCCTTTAGCTACGTAAATTCCTCTTACAGAAGCAACCTGCCTTAAATTACTTTTTCCTCATTGGTCCCAATTCTGCTACATCCATACCCAAAGATACTGTTCTGGCAAAGAACAAAGACACCGTGGCAGTCTTGGTCTTTGCAGGGTATTGCAGATACAGTTGCGTAGGTACAGGTGGCGTTGCAAGTACTTGCATCCCAAGTATCTGGTTCATACTGGAAAAACATTGTTCTCCTTGTAACTTGCTATCACTCCAGTTGTGTGTTGATTCCTTTACCTAGTTCCTCTTATGCACAAGCAGTTTCTTACCTGTCTTTCAGCAGTCTTAATCAGCCTCCTGGTTCCTTCAGCTAGTTATGAGGCCTTGTGCTCCAGCAGGAACCTTTGCTCTGAGAGGAAAAATAAAGCAGGTGGGAAAGGTACAGTGTCTGCAGGGGTCTCAGAGATGCTGGTGGCTGCCCTGCTGCCAAAAATCTCACACACACGCATTCCTCTAGGACAATTTTTCTAAAAGACATCTATCCTTCCTATAGACTTCCTGATCTCTGAGGTAATACGCGTAAAAAATGTTTTCCCTGTTATTTCGTTAAGAAAAAGTAAACAGACAGAGACAGGCGCTGGAACATGAAAACCAGAGCTCGCCCGCCCGGAACGCAGGCCTGTCCCCGTGAAGGAAGGGGAATACCCAGGAGGTGCCCAGCTCTGGCTCGGCGGCCGCCCAACTCCTCGGCTGTGATGCCACCTGGTGGGAAAGCCGCTACCTCCATTTCCCGGGAAAAGGCCGGCGGCGGCTC